CTGATTTTTCACACTCTTGAGCGAAGGAGACCAGGGTGAACATACTATCTTTTGTGCTGAGACCCAGGAGAAGACGTTTGCATTTGTGACAAGAAACACCTTTTCACCAATCTTCTTTTTCCCATGAGGTTAAGTAAGGTATGACTGTACTGTACTTTGCCAGGAAACTGCTACTGAACTGTTTGTGTTTTGAAATCAGTTTGTGCTGGTGTCTTGTTTGATCATGGTTGAGTGCAGCTTGCCCCCAACTCTTTGGGTGTGTGAGTGAGAAGAACCTGCCATTGGAAGACTTCTGTGTCAGCCAGGGAAGACTCGGGCTTGACCACAACAATCTGAGGTACCAGGTAGAGGGGTGTGAGTGAGGTTAACATAACACCATAACCGCCTTGTATGTTTTGTGTGTGATTATCTGCCTGCACTGTTTCCCTCTCTTTTATCTTTCTCTTTCCCACATCAAGATTTATGAGTCACTGATTCTATTCTGGGATCCAAAGGTAAAAAGAGGCATTTCCTCCCTCTGGCCCAGGTGACTGGGTGATTTCTCATTCGTGTCAGACATTATGTAGGTTCTGTTGGATATCTAAAGATGTGCAGGGGTCTCAGAGTTGAGGAACATATGATAAAGATTTGGGTTCTTTGGGGGCTGCTCACATGAGGCTTGGTCAGCCAGAGTGCCCTTGAATCCCCTGGGCAGTCCCCCACAGAGGCTTCAAGGAGTGCCAAGACATGTAAGTAGGGATGGATTACTCTGGGATTAATGTCCTGGGGGAGCCTGACCCACAAACAGCACACTTCAGACCATGTCCCACCCTAACCTGTTCCAGTCTTCCTGGCTTCTGCTGCTTTTAGGCACTGTCTCTTTAAACCTTTAGCTTTGAAGCTGTTGGTATGCAATCTTTCAGTTTTCTTGAATGCTTTGGGGCCAGGATAGAGTACTCCTTTTGCAAGCCTGGACCGACAAACAACATTCTTATCAATGGAGAAAAGATTGAAGTTGTCAAGGACTTCATTCTTCTTGGATCAACTATCAACATTCATAGAAGCAGACGTATTGCATTAGGCAAATCTGCTGCACAAGACCTTTTTAAAGTGTTGAAGAGCAAAGATGTCAGTTTAAGGATTAAGTTGTGCCTGACCCAAGCCATGGTATTTTCAATAACCTCATATGCATGTGAAAGCTGGACAGTGAATAAGGAAGACTGTAGAAGAATTGATGCCTTTGAGTTGTGGTATTGGAGGAAAATACTGAAAGTGCCATAGGCTGCCAAAAGAACCAATAGATCCGTTCTGGAAGAAGTGCAGCCAGAGTGCTCCTTGGAGGCCAGGATGGCCAAACTTCATCTCTCATGCTTCGGACAAATTGTCAGGAGGGACCTATCGCTGGAGAAGGATATCATGTTTAGGAAGGTGGATGGTCAGAGAAAAAGAGGAAGACCTCCAATGAGATGTATTGGCCAAGTGGCAGCACTGATGGACTCAATGTGGCAACAGTAGTGAGGTTGGCCCAGGACCAGGCAGTGTTTCGTTCTGTGGTGCATAGGGTTGCTATGGATTGGTACTGACTTGATGGCACCTAACAACAACAACAACCACTTTTTGATAGGTGGTTGTGATGACAGTTAAGCTCTCTGCTGCTAACTGAAAGGTTGGGGTTTAAACCTAAGCAGCAGCTCTGTGAGAGAAAGAGCTGGCCATCTGATCTTGTAAAGATTATAGCCTAGGAAACTCTATGCAGCAGTTCTATTTTTCACAAGAGTCACTATGAGTGAAAAAAGCCACGCCCCCCCCCCCAAAAAAAAAAAAACCAAACACTGCAGCAAACCAGTTGGTTTTGAGTTGATCCTTACTTAGGGCAAATCCCATATGGGATTTATACAGCTTTTCTTCATGTTGTAGTTCCAACTTTGTTCATTTAATTAACACATTTATTCCTAGAATTCTTATTGAAGATATTATTTGAATGGCTGTATTTAGTTGAGCCCTGGTTGCTATAGGATGAGTGACCTTAGGATTGGACTGGTAACTGAAAGGTCAGCAGTTCAAACTCACCTCCCAGTGCTCTCAGAACCCTAAAGGGTCACTATGAGTTGGAACTGACTTGACAGCACACATCAACAACAATAATATTTATTTTTGAGAATAATATAGCATAAAATTGCATTCACTTGAAAAAAAAAAAAACTTTTTGGCGAGTGCTAAACATTTGCTATTGTTGTTAAGATGCCATTAAGTCAACTTTTGACTCTTAGAGACCCCACGTGACAGTAGAACTGCTCCATAGGGTTTCTTTAGGGAAGCAGATTTTCAGTTCTTTCTTCCTTGGAGCTACCAGGTGCGTTTGAACTGCCTATCTTTTAGTTAGTAGGCAAGTATTTATTCACTGTAACACCATAATGAATCTCTATGTACTTGTGGCGGTAGTGATACGCGGTAGAGTCGGTTCCAACTCATAGCGACCCTGCATAGTAGATTCTTTAAATAAAACAATAACTCATTTAACACCATATTTCTACAAGATGGACATTATCTTTATACATATAGAAACTTTTGATAGAAAGAATGAATTGCCCTAGGTATCGTAGGTGGCAAGGAGTAGAAAGTCATTGAAATCTAGGAATGTCTGACTACAGTCATAAGTCTTAGTTTAACGTCCATAATGAGTTGTGTGATATGGATGGCGTGCAAACATCATGTCAGAGTCTAGTCCTGCTTTAAGCATTTCAAACAAGCTTGGTGCCTTAGCTGAGATCAACTATCAACAGTTCTGATAGGGTTGTGTGTTTGTGTTTGGTACTGAATCCCTGTCATTAGCAATTTCCATATATCTGATATAGGTACTGCACACATTTTTCATTAGCCTTGTAGCTTTCAGTGGGTCTGATTTTTCAACAGCTTGGAAAATTATTTGTTCGTGAGCATCATTGATTACACATGCCTAAATCATGAGCAATAGCATTCACTGATTTTCCACCTTTATTTAATTTAATACTTTTTGTTTTCTTCTCCTCTGCCTCTTGCTGCTGTTATTATTAATCACTGTTTTTGCTGTGTTTGTGAGCCATAATGTACTTCCTAGTAATATTTTTGAAAGAAAATTAAACAGAAAGAACATTACAACACTCAAAAGATGCATAATACATGAGATTGGATGTTGTGGCCTACTAGTCGAAGCATACATCATAAATTTTAGATAGAAAGTATGGGACACAACATACATAATACAGTAACATAGACACTAATTATGTCTGTGTTATACATATATATTATAGGTTGTATTTGTACTGTACTGGTCCTGGTGTGGTGCTGTGCGCTAATGTGCTGGACTGCAGAGTCAGATTGAACCACAAAGCCAGTGGTTCTAGCTCACCAGCCGCTCCTCGGAAACCCTATGTAGGGATGCAATGGGACAGAACTGACCTGACAGCACTTACCAACAACATTAAGCTCCTGGCAGTGCAATGGCTTTGTATACATGAGACATGAGACACACAGGTTGCATAGTCTACATCCCATTCTCTGATCAGGATTTTTGAACTCTACAGTTGGGCATTGCCTGAATGGATAATATGTAGCACATGAAGGTGCTTCTATTACTCTGGCTCTTCCATTGGGCTTGCAAATCATTTGATTTTGTTAGAATGACACAAGTGCTTTTCTATACAAATGCTGCTTCTGACAATCCAGAGGTTAGCATTATGCAGTCCACATGTGATCTGGTATGGTCATGACATATGGGAGAAACAGGATACATTCTAAAATTTTCAACTTCAAGAGTGAAAGATGAGTTTGCCTAGAGAAATCTTGACTTTTAAGTTTTTTGTTTGGGTAGGCTATTTCTTAATATGCCCTCAAATACGTGTATATAATTAAACTGTTTCCAAAATGGCACTTTCCATTTATATATTAACAATACTAGTGTAATCGGTCCTTTTTTATATAGGGGTAATTAATACAAATGAGTGTTTACAATCATGTTATGAGACCCTGCCTGACAGAAAATAAATGGACTTGCCTGTTTTATGTACTGTATTTGGTTTCTCTCTTGACCTGTGTGTTCACCTAGAAAAAATTGTTGGTCCTTTTTCTTTCCTTCTGGTAGGGCAACTCCAGGCCAAAGACTGTGCACACTAAAGGACTCAATGCCATAAATTATCTCCTCACTCTTCACTGAATAGGGTGAAGGACAAGTACTCTAACGTGTAGTGTCTAGCCTCTTTACCCTGCCTCTTGAAGTGTCTTCCTCTCAGCAGCTGCCTTATTTTTAGACATCTAGATGTGACATCTAGGAAGGACTGGGGAAACTAATCCTGTTGCTAAAAGGACTTACATAGGATGGTAGATGCCAGAAGTCTCATAATAAAAACACAAAAAAGGGGAATTTGTAAGAAAAGCACTTTTTTTTCCCTTCATATCTCTAGTAGAATGGATATGGCTTTTCACTATTTTAAGGGTGTCGCAACACCCTTAGTATTCGGAGTTGGGGATATGTATCTCCCATCTAGCCCTAAGCAGCTCAAGAATAGAAGCTGACTGATTATTTAGTCCTATGATGAATCTTTTTGTCAACAGATTTAAAAGCATAGTTTTTAGGATACTTCAGGGTTTGAATCCTGACTCTACTAATTAGTTTCGTAATCTGACAAATAGGATCAATAGTAGCCCTGACATCGCAGAATAGGGAAGAAAAGTCAATCCATGTAGGGAAGTTACTTCCTTTTTGCGGAGTCGCTCCGACCTAGCCGCAGCAGCCGGTCGGCATCACAGCCTGAGCAAGTCAGGCCTTAAGTTCCACCCACTACTGTCCCGTTACCACGAAACGCAAGCGCAGCCAGACTGCCAGGACTACCCTCTCCACGCTCGCGTGCTGTCGTCGGCTGGGGATCCGGTCTCGCGATGTGTGCGCGCGAGCTGCGTGTGCGCGGTCCTCGCAGGCGCGCGCACGCCGCCCCTCGCCGTACGGGGCTGTGGTGGCCTCATCCTCTGGGTCCGGAGGCGGACCCTGAGCGGTAGCTGAGGCCGGAGCTCGCTGCCAGCCTCCAGCTCTTTGCCGCCACCATCGCTGCCTGCCCCTCTGTCGTGGATTCTTTTCCCTGCAGTCCAGAAGCGGGGCTGGGCTGGGAGCGGCGCCAGCGTGTGGTTCCCAGCCGATGGGAAGCCCCTGGACGCGCTGAGGGGCCGGGCTACTAGCGGCTGAGGTAGGTAGGCGCGCGGGCTTGCCAGCCGGGCGGGGAATAGAGTCGGGCCGGCGAGGCGGCGAGCGCGGGGGGCCTAGCTAGCCGGTGAGCAGAAGTCTGGGACCCGGGCCAGTGGGGGCTCTGGCCTAGCGGGGAGCGTGAGGAGGGCCCCGGCCGTGGCTGCCTTCCCACGGCGTGGAGCCATTACGGGGGCATTGCCTCCCCGGCGGGGGGAGGGGTCGCCCTTTCTTTTCTTTGCCGTCCAGGCTCGCTTTCACCCTCTCCCCCGCCGACTGAAAGCGCGCCGGTTTCCGGAGGGGTGTGTAGACTCCCCGGGCTTGCGGAGGGAACTCCGAGTGGACAGACCGCGGGGCCGTGAATTTTGCGTTTTTGTTGAGGGGGTGGGGTGGGGGTGGGGGCTCAGAACCCTTATCCCTAGTTTGGGCGCTCATATTCTACCGACTTGTTAAGGCGAATACATTAATAGTCACTCCCAGGTCAAAGGCATTTTTCATCGCCTTGTGTCAAATAAGGATTCTGGCACCAAGGAGACGGCGCCGTGGGGCACCATGAAGGAGTCGAAAGAAGACAAAGAAGGCCGTTATTTATTTTCTGCCCAAATATCAAAACTTTCCGCACCGAGGCGGTGGGGGGGGGGGCATGATTCTGTGCAGCCGTTAGCCAGATGCTCTGATCTTGGAGAATCCTGGCATGTTTGATTTGGGAGAAGAGCAGAAGTTGGGCTTATTGAAAGGCAGGTTTTCTCCATGTTTAGAAAGCTCCATGAATTCTACGTGAAGTCACTAGAAAGACTGGTCAGGAAGGGACTGCTGCGTCCACAAAGAGTGGACCTGCTGGAAGCCACTTCAGTTCAGCCTATACTTCCAGTATTCGGATGTAGTCTTTCTTACACTGACTTGTATACATTCACGGAGTTGCTTTTTTAAAAGAGGACCTCTAGTCTTTGGCAGGAAGGAGCTGTCATAGCTTAGTGGTTAAGAATCGGGCTGCGAACCATAAGGTCAGCAGTTCAAAACTACCATCTGTTCCCCTGGAGAAAGATGAGGCTTTCTGCTCCTGTAAAGATTTACAGCCTCGGAAACCCTGTACAGGGTCGCTCGCTATGAGTCAGAACTGACTCCACGGCACATAACTACAACAACAACATTCTTTGGCAGGAGTCCTGGTGTGGCGCTGTGGGCTAATGCGTCAGACTGCAAAGCCATGTGAACTGCAAGGTCAGTGGTTCAAGCTCACCAGCTGCTCCTGGTAAACCCTATACAGGGTCACCAAGGGTCGGAAGCGACTCGATGGAACTTAACAACCACCACCTTTGGTACTCTGCATAGTCTGTTCTAACTGTTGCTACTATTCAGCTGAAATTTACTAGACTGTAGTATTCATTCTGACTTCTCTGGGAATGTGGTCTTCCTACTTGCAGTGAAATACATGCTATTGGAGTTATTGGAGCTGTCAGGCCCTGAAACAGGAGAAGGCAGGGTTAACTCTGTGTAGTGTTATATGAATACTGTCTATTGTTGTTAAGTGCCGTCGTCAAGTGAGTTCCAACCCACAGTGACCCTGAATAGGGCGTCCAGGGAGCGGCTGGTGAGCTTGAACTACTGACCTTGCCCTTGAAACCGACCTTGTCCAGCGCATTAATTAATGTGGACCCACAGCACCACATTAGGACTCCTTATGTTTCTTTTTTAAGCGCAGTCAGTCGGTTCTGACTCATAACAACCCTATATAGGATTTCCAAGGAGCAGCTGATGGGTTTGAACTGCCAGCCTTGTGGTTTGCAGTCCAGCGCTGATTCTACAGCACAACATCAGGAACCCAAGATGTCTGCATGTTATTGTTGCTTAGAGCCATCTAGATTCTGACCTTTAGCAACCCTGTATAAGGAGCTCTGGTAGTATCGTGGTTACGAATCGGGCTGCTAACCTCAGGATCAGCAGTTTGAAACTACCAGCTATTCCACAGAAGAAAGAGGAGACTTTCTGCTCCCATAAAGATTTATATCCTCGGAAACCCTGTACAGGGTCGCTATGAGTCGGAACCGACTCCATGGCATACAACAACAACATAAGGTTTCCAAGGAGTGGCTCTGAGCTTGAATGACAACTTTGTTTTCAAACCGACTTTGCAGTACAGTGCATTAATCCACAGCGCCACACTAGGACTCTAGGAACCTGTGTAAGCTGGTGAAAAGTTTCATAGGAACATTACACTTTCAGATAGTGGGAATAGACATCAGAACTCCCTATAAGCAGATATATCTTGAGTACAGGTTTCTCCACTAATCAAAAGTAGAATGTTCCTATGAAATTTTTGATAAGCTAAAATGGCATAAAGCAAAGAAGCAATTCCTATTAATCTGTATGGGAAAAATTATTGTGCATGCCCAGATCCAAAAAATACGTAACCAAATCATAGTAAATAACACATAAAATAAATAGCACAATGGTTACAAGTCCAGCTGCTGACCTCAAGGTTAGCAGTTCGAAACTACCAGTCATTCTGTGGGAGAAAGATGAGGCTTTCTGTGCTCGTAAAGATTTATAGCCTCGGAAACCTTATGCAGAGTCACTATGGGTCAGAACCAACTTTCCGGTACATCACCACCATCAGGCTAATTTACAGTGTTCACAGACATGGGTCAAAGCTATGTCAGCTTGATGTTGAGGTGCTGAGTGTAGTTCCCCGGGAAGGAGCTTGGTGAGGCCACTCTCACTTTCTAGGGGTGGATGCTGCCTCTTTAATGGCTTTCTGCAAAATAAACTCTGAAGTGATTTCGAAAAGCCAGGCTTACCTGTATATGATTATGTAAAGAGGATCTGATGGTGATGATTCTCATTGTGTGAAGTCTGAAAGTTGGAAAGGGTTGGTTTTAGGTATTTCCATTTTTTACTTTACTATTTTCATGGATAATTGTTAAATTGTCCTTTAACCAAATTGTTAATCAAATATTGAGTAAACAGAATTCTAACTTCTTGACAGTAGCAGAGAATGAAAATATAGAACATGTATAAAACCTAACCTTTAGGAATGTTAATGTCTAATTGTCTTTATATTGGAAATATTGGAATAGGTATGTTCCATTATAATAGTGTTTTGCATGCATTTGGCCCTTAATAAATGTGAGCACTGTCAGAAGGAAATAAACATAGTATAATCAAATGCATAAATTCCTGGAGAAGATTAAAGAGTTGGAGATGGGTATGAAATTTTTGTTTTTATCTGCTTGTCCAATTTTTAAATGGCATGTTCTGTTGAATGTAGGTTTGCATCTTGGCTCTCAAAGCCTAATGTAATATAAGCTGAGACCCCACATGTCCTGAGTGCTAATAGGTCATGAATGTTTTCATACATTGAGAGAATATAATAAGGTTCAAAGGGTTTTGATAAGTTAGTGATGTTGTTGTTAAGTGCTGTCGAGTCAGTTCTGACCCATAGCGACCCTATTTAGGGTTTCCTAGGAGAAGCTGGTGAGCTTGAACGGCTGACCTTGCAGTTCAAACGGCTTTGCAGTCTGGCGCATTAACCCACAGCACCACACCAGGACTCCAAGTTAGTGACAGGAACTAAAAAAGCATTGTAATCGATTGTAAGAAGAAACATTTCCTTTCCTTATTGGCAGTCCTACCTGTGGAAGAGGACCTGAACCTTTCTACCCTTTTTATTAGAGCTTTCTGGTTCTAATTCTTGATGGCAAGATGATTTCCTGAATAATTATAATTCTTATAATTATTCCTGAATAATTATAAGAAAGAGATGGCACTTTTTTTCTCTTATAATCTTTCTGCTCACAGGTCTGATTGTGTATCTCATTGTATTTACATGTGGCCTCAAGTCCAACTTTATTGGCAATAAAACTGATATTTTGACTAATTCTTACATATATTTCTCAATTAGTTTATATTGTGAATAGGAATGTAGTTGCTATATTTGTAAATAATGAGCACACACAGGAAACTGATGCATAAGGGGTTGCAAGGTTTGCATAAAGAGACCCATAGTGTAAAAACTATGGTAGTTCCCTCACAAACCCAAGTGGTACTGTTCTGCATGGGTTGCCATGCTAAAAACAACAATGAATGTTACTAACAAGGGTTTTGTGAGTATTTGAGGACAGGAGTGAGCTAAAAAAGTGAATTAAAAACTCAAATAGAAATATTTTCATTTGGTCTTGTGTTTTCACTTTAGAATGGTTCTCATAGAGTCAAAGGGAGGATAGATTTCCCTCCTAGGAAACCTTTGGCAATGTCTGGAGATATTTTGGGTGGGTTCAAATAGGGTGGGGTGGGATAAGGTGGGATACAGCTTACTTTTGGTGGGCCATGACTGCTGCTAGATCTTAAAATGTACAGGATAGCCCCCACACCCCACACCAAAGAATTACATGGCTCAAATGTTAAATGTTGCTATTGAGAAACTGTTCTGTGGTTGTTGGTTCTCGAGTCAGATACCTGAATTCATACTTGGCTTTATTATTTCCTAATGTGTAACCCTAGGAAGTTGCTTAAAATCTGTGCCTCAGTTTCTGTAAAAGCTAATAATAGTATGTTTCTCATAGTGTTGTGGTAAAGGTTAAATCAGATTAATGTGGAAAGTGTCAAGCTTATTGCTTGGCATTTAGAAAATCTTCAAAGACTGTTAACTTTTTGCTAGTATTATATTTGGAACCCATCTTGATATTTCATTATTTCTCATCTGAAATTAGAATTTGAGCTAACAGAGTGATAATGACCTAGTTTTCCGTATATCCTTGAGGAATGAATGAAAAATTGCCCCTTTTATTATTTGTATTTAGCTCAGTCTTGCTTTATGTTCTCAAGTCTGTAAGGCTTCTGCTATAAACAAATAGCTTTTCATTGTAGAACTTTTTCCTTCATAGTTAAAGCTTTAAGCCAACAGGGCAACAAATCTACATTTGTTGATTTTCAGTGAATATTTAGTAATTTAACAGAATTTCCTTGAGTTGATGCCCATTTCCTTTTGCCTTTATAAACTGAAATAAACCTATAGTCATTTTGGCTAATGTTAATTACCTCTTGACCTCTGAGAATAACTATTTTCATACTAAGGTCTTAGTGTAATTTCACATGTATGAAGAATACAGGCAAACATATAATGACTTAATATACAAGGGAGTTTCAAAAAGTTCATGGAAAAATGGAACTAAAAGATAATGGTATTTTCCATGATCTTTAAAAAGCTTCCTCATAAATATTTGTGACCCATATATTATAGTCTTTGTTGGTGCTGTAAGATAAAGCACTGGACTGCTAGCCACAGGGCAGTGGTTCAAACCCACCAGTCACTCCTTGGAAACCCTGTACAGGGTTGCTATGAGTTGGAACCCATTCAATGGCACTTAATAACAACATACAAACTTTCATTTCCTGTGTATCTAAATGGTACGGCTATGTCGAGTTGGCTTGTTATCTTGTTGTGGTTTTAGTTTTAATATATCCTTTAAAAGAATAACAAAATCCACAGAGATGTCCTCAGATAAAAGAAGCAAACAATGTTGCACATTCAACTTTTTGTCTTGATAACTATACCTTCAAAATAGGAGCTTTTGCTTTATGGATGTTACCCATATTTTTGTAGTATAAGTTCAGCTATTTGTATAAATATTCACTAATTTTTTTGGTATTATTCTTTGTATTTATACAGCCTTCTGTTGGATAGAGTCAGTACTTCGGCCAAGAGATTGTTTTCTTTGCGTGACACATTCTATCTTTTGTAAAGAGTAACATATACTCAGAGTTCTGTATAAATAATAAATTATAGTAATGATGAGGAAGTGTCTTACTGCACTGTGGAAATTGTGGTCAGGTCATAAGTAGTATATATGTGAGAAAGTAAAAGGTCAAAGGAAGGCATTCTAAGAACTTCAGGCAAACTGAAAACAAAAAATCATTTAGTAGAGTTCATGTATGTCACCAGTTTCTAAGTAGAGAGTATTGTGGCTACTAACCACTATTATAGTTATCTTTGTGGCATTTGTTCCTACCCATGATTAAATCGACAAAAACAAGTATATTTGAATCTACTGATATATGTTTTTCTGTAAGTGGTCTGGAGAAGACAGATTATTCTTTACCGAATGCTGTTATATAAATATATATTTGTGTATATGTATTCATGCATGTTTGTCTTTTATTTTCGGTAGAAAATGATGCATCCTGTTGCCAGCAGTAATCCAGCTTTTTGTGGGCCTGGCAAGCCTTCCTGCCTCAATGAAGATGCTATGAGAGCTGCTGATCAATTTGACATATATTCTGCTCAGCAAAACAAATACAGCCACACAGTCAGCCACAAACCAATGGTTTGTCAGAGGCAAGACCCATTAAATGAAACACACTTGCAGACTACAAGTGGCAGAGGCATAGAAATAAAAGATGAACTAAAGAAAAAGAAAAATCTCAACCGATCTGGTAAGCGTGGCCGGCCTTCGGGAACCACCAAATCAGCGGGATACCGGACCAGCACAGGCAGACCCCTGGGAACCACCAAAGCAGCTGGATTTAAGACAAGTCCAGGCAGACCTTTGGGTACAACTAAAGCCGCAGGATACAAAGTCAGCCCAGGGAGACCTCCAGGTAGCATTAAAGCTCTATCCCGTCTTGCTGATCTTGGTTATGGCTGTGGCACTGCTGCTTTTCCTTACCCTATGATGCATGGCCGAGTAGTTCATGGGGTAGGGGAAACCAGCAGTGAAGTCAAGCCACCCAATGAGTGAATGAGTAGGAAAGGAGGGTCTGGTTTAGAAGGAAGAATGTGAAAATTCCAAAGCTTCTTGGTTTTATTTTTACATATATAATTTTATGGCCTGGCCTTTCCAAATTTCTTTTGCCATTAGATTTTTTCCTGCTTTTGCTCAGAAGCTGCCATATGCTGACAGGTGTACTCAGGGCATGAGCAGTGGCATTGTGTCTGAACATAGGTTCACGTATGATACCTGACTGAATCATTTTTGCTTTTCCTCTAGAGTTATGGTCGTGTGTTATGTTCCATTACTACTGTTGGGCCATTCTAAATAGATGACTTATATACTAAACAATTGAAACCACAGTAACTGTTAGTTTGTGAAGTACAATATAATAAAGATACTATCTGGAAATATTTTAAACTGATGGAACAAAGCAAACTAATGATTCAGGATTACTTGAGGTAATGACAGTGAGGTTTTGTAACATTTATTTTCATGAGACAGGACACAGATATTTGTATGCGTTGGCATTTACAAAAGCTTCAGATAGTAAAAAACTTATTTGTAATATTCTAGTTTTAAGCAGCTTTTTATTTATCTACATGACATTAATTGATTTAACCATCAATGTTTGTCTTTCAGCAGTGATAAGTTATATTTTTAAGTTAAGGGTATGTATACCAAACACTCCTCGGAAACCCTGTGCAGGGTCGCTATGGGTCGGAACCGACTCAATGGCACTTAACAACAACAATACCAAACACTACAAATAGTGCAAAAAAAAAAAAAGAAAATTGAACTATTTTATGAACATTATGTGTTAGTGAAATGCAATGCATTCTGAGAAGAGCATTTTTAATATTATAGAAAGAAACATTCCTGAGGTCTGCAGATAGCTGTATCCACTACATTTTGCTTTTCAAATACTTAATGAGATTTAAAGCATTACGTTTAAAAACATTGATTAGTGTTGCTCATTTATTTGAATTTTTTTTAAGTTTTTCTGAGAAACACTGCCATTGCATTAGCACTTACTTAATATATTTTCAGGCTTATATCTACCAAAGGACACAAATTTAATGGTAGACTGTAAAACTGGTATAAACAGAATGCAGTTTCCTGACTGTCAGAACCCAAATATTAAGAAATATATAGGAATCCATCTATGCATGAAGAATGTAAAAATATGTTGGTTATTTAATTTAAAATCTTTTTGTGGCTCTTGGGAGACCACTTCATCCAAAAGAAAAAATTTTTCCCAATGTTTGCTTCAAAAGCAAAATATATAGATAAGGAAAAAAGTATTAGGTAAATATGTATACTATGGGCAGAGGGAAGTCTGTCTTGCCCCTTTTTCTGAAAGTAATATTCCTTGTTAATACATACTTTATTTATTCTGAGTTTGTCCTAAATAAACTATTATAAACTTTGGATTTGAAAACAAATGTCAGTGAACTTTAAAGTTACAATGTATGTACTTGCAATTTAATTGCCTTTGAGATTATAATGTTACAGTTTTGCAGTACCCAAAAACTTTTTTTAAAATAACTTAAAATTTTAAAGGGCACAAATTGTGTTGTTTGGCTTGCTCTCAGTTAATGCAGACTCTGACTGCAAATGGATGTCATGTTTCATACCTTTTTTATCAGGAAAAAAGCAGCAAGCCTTCAGGTGTTCCAGTGATGCCTGACACAATGAGCTGGACTTTATGCTGCTCTTTACAGTAAGAGGTGTTGCATTGTATGTGGGGACTTTGTGCACTGGCATCTAAGACAGTGACCTCAACAATTTTAGCACTGCACAAACCATAGAGAACAATGTGGAATGACTACATAATCAATTGTAACATTCTGGCAGCTAAATCGCTACAAGAGTTTGTTCTTGCTGAGGCTAATAATTTACTCAAACAGTATAACTTCTGACACACATAAATGCTTATTACATCTTTATTCTTATATTCATGTATCTGTTTTTATTATGTATCTGTCCTTTAGCTTTTCTCAAGATGATGTTCAGCAGTTGGCTGCTTAGAAATCCTTTTTTTGAACTAGTTCCTGAATTAAATGTTCGACTTTAAAATAATATGAACCATTGTCAAGGATTTGATTGCATGTTGTGTTTTATAGTAAGTCTATTAGACATTTCCCTTTCTGTTTATTTTCATTTCTGATTTTGTTATACAAAATCCTTTTCTATTTATTCTTTTCCTACTCCTAAGCCCCCAGCACATCTACTCAGTGGTGCTGTGTGTCAGAAGATAAAGCAGGTGTATTATTGTATAATGAATTTTGTATACATGTTTATTAAATGGTGATATCATCCTAAAGGAGGTATGTTCATAACAGTGAGGAGCTGTATCCCAGAAAAAAGTTGGGGTTGGAGGAGGGAATGGCTGCAATAACATCATTTAGAAAACTGAATTTGCTGTTCATATGAGCAGTTACCCTGGAGTATTAGATCTGTATGCTGGTGAGCATCTCCTGATTCTACTTACTTTTCTCCTGGTGAACAGTTTACTAGTGTCATGCTGAAGAGAAAGACAGAAATGGTAACATATATGAAGTCTTAAAATATAAGGTATTTTTTACTTCTGTATAATCTAAAGACTACATTGTGCATCTTTTGTAACACTGTCTTGTCATGATAAACACTGAAATAGCATGTTAAATGATTGCCTATACTTTAATCAGTTGGGGAAAACTGACCTTTTTTCCCTACTGTATGATTGTTCCTTGAAAGGTAAATTGCTAATTTTATACTGTGTAATTCTGTTCTTCACAAAATAGGTTTCACTATTCTATATTAAAACTATTGGTCAGAAAATGATCTACTATTCAAGTAAGTTTGTTTTACTTTTTTTCTTTAAAAAAATATTTTAACATGCCTTATTTATTATTGTTATATTAACAAATAAGGAGCTAATACATAAGAAATTTTCATTTTTGACAGATATAACTTTGCATAACTAATCTTTAGTATGGGATGATTTTGATACTATCTTTGGAGTTTTGCACTGGATGTTAAAAAAATACTGGTACAATATATTGGAAGAAAATAAGTAGTTTCTGGTTAATTTGTAATATTTGGGAACACTTTTAAACTCAGTGTTTTAGTTAGAAAAAGAAAATTTATTGTATTTACTTTTAAAAGAAACGTCTGTCAAATTAATATTCATTCTAAACTGATGTTTGTGTGAATTTACATGCACATTTTCATGAAGACTAGAGTCCTTTGAGTTAAAGAGTAAAACATTTTTTTGGATCTATAAGCCAAGAAGGATCCATCCAGTGTAAGAATAAACACAGTATATATGCTAAAGAAAACAAAATCAAACTTCTCCTTTATATTATTAAGAAGCTTTAAAAGAACAATTCAGGGGATGTTGATAACTGCTATTCTGTCAGTCATTGTCTCTATATGCAGTAAAATTTTATTATACCTTTATAGTAAAGTATAAAGATTTACAACAGTTATTCAAAACACTTTTTCCCTTGGACATAAAAAATATTTTTACTCTATGTTTTTGTTTTTTAACTATGTTATTAAACTCTAGGATGTATCTAAATCTTTCCTTTGCTTTGCTTCCTCTTCTCTTTGTAGTAGATAAAGCTGCGCTTTCACATATAATGTATTTAATTTTGGAAATTTTAATGCTATAGTAAATCAAGTGTGTGATTTATAGTAATCAGACCACTCTGATTCTTTCAAGTTTTCACGATATCTTTTTCCACAGATAATTAGATCATTATGGAAAAAGGAATTACCAATTAACTGATATAAGCACGCTGTCCTCTGCTGTAAAAAGTCTAAATAAATACTGTGTATGTTTTTCTGTCCATGAACTTGAGCTACTCGTGTGCAATTATGTGTATGGAATGGAGTAGTGTTCATGATTTGTATCTACATCATCATATGGATGTATATTTATTAATAAAGTCATTACTTTTAAAGCCAATTATGTGATGATCTGTTCTATAAGCCATTACTCAGTTCACAATAAAATGTTAAAAACACATACACACACATACACACACAAAAGCAATTATTTTACAACTCTGTTTCAAATAGGGGAATGGTAAATGGTAAAACTTTTATCATGATGGTGGGTTGTTTTTCTTGGGATTATGATTTCTGAAATGTCTACTCTACTTTTTTCTTAAAATAACGTGTGTGTGTGTGTGTGTGTGTATGGAGCTCTGGTAGCGTAGTGGTTACGAATCGGGCTGCTAACCTCAAGGTCAGCAGTTCGAAACTACCAGCAGTTCTGCAGGAGAAAGATGAGGCTTTCTGCTCCTGTAAAGCTTTACAGCCTCGGAAACCCTGTACAGGGTCACTATGAGTCAGAACCGACTCTACGGCACTTAACAACAATCCCCCCCCTCTTTTTTTTTTGCATTTTGTTCCATTTAAAATACATGAGCTAATAATTTCTACTAAAGGTTTATGTTTCAGTTTAAATGTGATTGATTCTTTTGCTTTAAAAAATTCAAATACAAAACAACTAGATTAAAAAACGTTTCTTTTTAAATTAACCTCATGGGGAATGGAGTATGTAACTATTTTTGTTAAATATTTCAAGTATGAAAAGAAAAATAAGTTCCCTTAAATATTTGAACATACAAAGGGGCTTCAAAAGTTTATGGAAAAAACGGAGTTGAAAGATAATGGAGTTAGTCTATGGACTCTTTGAAGCCCCTTTGTATTGCCCTTTTTATTTTGTTCATAGCTTTCAGATCCTTTAGAACAGAAGTTGGGATTCCCTGCATGGTGTGCAAATGGTTAAGGGCTGGACTGCTGGTGGAGAGGTTGACAGAGATGCTTTTTGAATGATCTGCTTTCAGTTAAGTCACAGCCTTTAAAAGCCTAAGGCGGGGATTTCAATCAATGAGACAAAACAAAGCACGGTGTATGATTTGTTGGAAGTAAAACTGATGATCTTTGTAAACTTTCACTCAATTAACAGTAAAAAGTTAAAAAAAAAAACAAAACCCCCCTGGGGTACAATTCTACTCTGCACAAAAGGGGTCACTATGAGTCAGTTGGAGCCAACTAACAACAGAACAGAGGTGGCAACCATGACCACTCACTATCTGTTTTGGTTTTTTTTTAATTTAAGGTTTTTATTGTGGACTGAGTGAAAGTTTACAGGGCATATCATCAGTTTTACATTCAACAAATCATATACCTTGTTTCATTACATTGATTATAATACCCTCCATGAACCATCAGTTAAAAGTATTTCTATCCACTTTAGCTTTTTAAAAAACCAACAACAACAACAAAAACCCCACTCAGGCATACATAATAATTTACATCTCCAAAAGGCACATTCTGCAAGCCTGCTCCTGGCCACTAGCTCTTAGTCCTTCTCTTCTTAGTCCGTGAATCTATAGTCCTCAGCTCCTTCATGCCCCCATCTCTGGCGCTGCTGCTTCTCTAGATAAGGTCCGCATTCTATTTGTGTGTACCTCTCTTGATGGTCCTAGGGTGGTCTGTTTCTGGATTGTAAGATTAACCACTCCCCTTTTTTTGTTACAAAACTTCTACCTTTACAAGTGTGACAGTCGCGATTAGTCATAACAGTTATTCACTATTGAATCTTACGAATCTTATCCCCATATCCTTTCACTAGACCCATCTAGACAAGATGATAGCTATTCAGCAGGGACTCTTTCTTTCCCCCCACACT